TAACCCAACCTTCTCTAAAACTACACAATATTATTGCAAAAATTTAACAGAAATTCTCCAGTATGTCCTATCCGTTTGTGTAAAGAAAAGAGGAAATCACATTAAGACCTGCAGCAACTCCGAATCCAAACTAGAAGGAAACAAGTTCAAGAGAATGATATAAAAACTACCTAGTTGGGAAGAATACTATATCCTTGTGGTTTAAACTTACAGATTATATTTGGATGTAGAGCATCATAGGGAGATGATTGAAATCGTGACCAAAATAGAAGATAACACTTAAGCAAAAAATAGCGAAATGGAAACTATTAACTAAAACCAGCCCAAAATGGTTAATAATAACTGTGTTTTTAATATTACCAATAAATAATTATAAGTAATTTTGTACTAAAAATTATTTTACAAAACAATTTTTTATAATTTACTAGCAACCCGCCCCGGCTTCGCACGGGCAAATATAAAATAGTCTATGTAGCTTTCGATAAAATTGGTTGAGTAGTTTTTGAGTTAAATCGTAACAAACAAAAAATCAATCATCTTTCATCTAATGCGACCCTAATATTAATTTTAAAATAATTCATGATATATCTATATACCTATTTAAAGACAATAAACGAACTCAAAACTAAAAATGCAAAACCTTTAAATTTAAAACAATATAGGTAACTACCAACAATGTGAAAACAAAACGAATTAAATTAAAGTACCTATGTTCAGGACTATCAATTTTAATTAATAAGTAAGTAGTTAGGTATCTAACTACCTAAAGAAAACAGACACGAAGCAAAAATGCGACTATGAAGTTTTAAATGATTCACAATAAGAAAAAAACAAACAAATTATTAAAACTCAATGAAATAAAAGTATGTTTGCAAGTATCTATGTATGTTACGACTACCTAAAGACAACAAATACAAAACAAAAATGTGACCTTAAAATATCGAACGCAATTATCCAACAACACCCAGAAAGAAAACACAGTCGTCAGTCGTCACCTCCATTCGCTCCAAGTCAGTTTATTAAAGGATCACGCGCGCGTTATCGTTCGGCTTATTAACTAAACAGTAGGCAAGACGGTGCGGGGGGAGGGTCGGCGATCGCATCAAGCGAAACGAGGCGCTTGAATTTTATTCTCGCGTCCGTAATTTTTTTGCGATTACTCCTAAGATATTCATCTAAATTATATGGTGTAAAAGATTAAAATAATGTGCATGAAATGCTTAAAGCCTCTAACTTATTTGATAAGGATTAATACCGTATTTGTGTAAATAGCTTTTACATTACCGCTTTATAATTGCCAATTTTTTAAAGTATTAAAATAGATATAGGTAGTATGTTATCTTTAACATATAGACATATGCCATTGCGGACTTTTCTGTAGGCATATATAAGATACACAATTCCACCATACATTTATACAATACATAAACTTTCGGACCCTCTCCCCCCCGGCACGGACGCGAGGCGCGGGGTCACGGGGCGCGCCCGCTCGAATCACGGCAACACGAAATTAATTTCGTTGCGCATTATTTTGATTTTGCTATATCTCCTAAGGCCTAAGGTATTTATTTAATTTTCATGGTGTAAAGGGAAAAAATAATCTTCATGAAATGCTCAAGCCAACTAACGTATTTAAAATGATAAGGATTAATACCGTATTTGTGTAAATAGCTTTCCAATTACCGCTTTATAATTGCCCATTTTTTAAAGTATTAAAATGGATATAGTATGTTATCCTTAAGAGATAGACATATGCCATCGCGGACTTTTCTGTAGACCTATATAAGATACACAATTCCACCATACATTATTTTGTTATATCTCAAAGGGTTTAGGCAGCGTTTTCGTTGAAAGCTCCCAGACGGCTTATTTTTTTCCGACACCTCCAACAAATATCGTTAATGTATACAAAAACTTAACAAATTATATACTAAAACCTTCCTCGAGAATCACTCTATCCATTGGTGAAAACAGCATGAAAATCGGTGCAGTAGTTTTTGAGTTTATCGCGAACAGACAGACAGACAGACGCGGCGGGGGACTTTGTTTTATAATATGTAGTGATGTAGTGATAGTGATTAAAAACAGTATTGTCTACAATAATAAAACGTAAGACGTAGGAATTTTTCTACAAATGAGTGACACAAAATTGGTATCATATCTTTGCGTTTAGGAAAATAAAAACAAAGTGCCAATTATTTTAGTTTAAATTGTATGATAAAATTACGCTATGGAGTTAAACATATTATTTATATTTGGAATTTCCATTTTACATTGTATATAGATAGAATTTTGGAAGAAAATATATTACCTATATAACATCAGTATGTCACAAATTTCATCTCAAAAGAAAAAACAAAATTTTCAGTATAATTTCGTCTAGGGTACGTACCAAGAGAAAACTTCACAACTTCATTAAATATTTTCTTCGTTACCATGGTAACATTTTCATTTCATTGGTTACAAAATAGAGACGTGAAATTGTCATTTTACCAAAGAGGATAGAAATGATATAAGGAAAAGTTGACCACTACCAACAATATCTAGGTATTCTAGAAAAAAAATAATTGTACTTATCGATAATAGTATGTTGGTTTAAGTATCGACCGAATTTTCTTTTGTTTTTCTATTAAAAAAAAGAATAATTTATATTTTAATAACATTTACAATAGTTTATGAAAATTCAAAGAAAATTAATGGCATATTTCAAGAGCGCTTGCACCGCTTTTATTCGAGGTAAAACTGCTTCCAGCAAAACTTTTGCAAGACTAAGGTGTGAGGGTTTAACCATTGTTTTTCACCCTTACACCATTTTTCATCCATTGTGTAACTTATCCTAAGAACAAAATCACTGAAAATAAACGAAGGATATTGGGCCCCTTAGCACCAAAGTTTCCAACATTCAGTTATGTAATCATGTTACCATTTTTTGTGGAGAAAAATAAATTTAGCTGGAATGCAACCATATGACGAAAATTATTTTCACCTAACAGGTCAATAAACATTTGATTGGTTGTAGGTAATTTCCAGCAGCAATTTAATAGTTTAAGAGCTTCGGAGAAAACTTAAACGTTTACTGGGTATGCATTTAGAATATTTTGCTTGCATAATATTAATTAGGGACGGGTATATCGAAAGAGAAAGTTGACGCCAGTTGCGTCCGCTTTGGTGGCATAACGTTGTGTGATCCTCATAATTTATCGAAAGCATGAATAATGTATTTAAGGAATTTTTCACAACATTTCTTGTTCGTTAAGAGTTTTATTTATCTCTATTTTTGAGATAAATACAATGACAAATAGAAATAATTCTCTTTTCGTTAATTGGTAACATAATATAAGGGTATGCCAGTCAATTCCATAGCTGTCTTATTATTATTATTAATTTCAAAAATAATGTCTTAGGCAAAACTTGTTTCAATTGATAGTGTGTCTTGTAAAAATAATTTCAGTTACAAAGGGTATTTAATATGGCATGAATGTTATTCAATTTTGAATTTTTAGTATATATACGTCTTTGATTTTAAGATAATATACGAGATCTGTTCAGAAAATATTCGAACTCTAAATTTTTAAACTTTATTCCTATCCATATACTCTTCTGAGCGGTGTTTCCATTTCGCGAATCAGTCCAGGCTAGCTTTATTTAAAATGGCCTTTAAAGTCTATGACGAATTTGTTTTGATGCCATCAATAGTCTGAAAACGATCTCCTTACAGGACTGATTTTAATTTCAGAAATAACAAAAAATTGCAAGGAGCCAGGTATGGTGAGTAAGGAGGGCGAGGGAGAACAGGGAGATTTTTAATAAAAAAACTGACGAATTGCCAAAGCTGAATGTGGGAGCGCATTGTCGTGGTGGCAAAACCATGAGTTTCTCTTCACAATATGAGGATTTCTTCACGTAACCGTTATAAAACTCCTTGATAGTACACACGGTTCACTTTGTCACATTGGGGCACGAATTGAAAATGCACAATTCCATTAAAGTAGAAAAAAAACAGTGAGCATCAATTTGGCATTGGATCGAGACTGACGTCCTTTCTTGGAGCGTGCAGATCCTTTGTCAATCCATTGAGATGATTGAACTATTGTCTTCCGTTATGATCCTTTGAATGAATGTTCATTGTCATTGGATTGTTCAAGGACTTGCTGACAAACGTCCACACGATTTTCATTCTGTTGTTCGGTTATCATGAGGGCTAAATTTTGCTGCAACTCGATGCATGTTCAATTTTTTAGTAAAATTTTCAAGGCATGACCCAATTTAGGTCATTGAGGTCTTCTGCTAGTTCTCTGGCTATTCAATTGACTATTTGCACGCACCAGATCTTTGACTTTCTGACCATGGGAGTCATCAGTTGAGGTCGAAGGCCTTCCTGGTCGAGGATCATCTTCAATTGATTGTCGACCACTTTTAAATTATGAAAATCATAGAGAATTATCTCCGTAAGCTTGTTTCAAAAGTTGAAACGTTTCCGTGAAAGTTTTCTCCAGTTTCTCGCAAAATTCGTCTCTTAAACATATTCTACTCAAATAGCAATATCATGAAATCTAAGTGAGATATCAGCAATCCAAGAACATGTGGTTACAGAGGAGATTATGCGCAACGCAATTCAAAAAGCACGTAATTCAAAAAGATCGGTTATCTTCTGAATAGACCTGGTAATTTTGAAAATTTAAAATTACCAGGTCTCTAGAGCGTAACTGGAAACGCTTAGTTAAATTAATAATAAACAAAAATGAACACAAAAAATGAAAACTAATTAGATCTGGTATTTAGTATTTTATATTATTAAATTTGAAATATTGAATCATCCCATAAAACTTTTGCATCCGCTACATGGGGATGTTTTTAATCCATAGGCAGCTCGTTAGTGTTATAAGTACAAAATACTATTAAATATTTTCCCATTATATTCAATATAAAATACAGGATATAACACTATGGCACCTAATAAATTAGCATTTTTTTTTTCTACATATTTTATTTTGTTGTAGGATATGAAGTACGGGATTTTAGTAAGGACCATATTATTTTTCCTAGTGACAACATACTTTACATTAGCAGTACAAAATTCCAATGGTGAAGAAAAAGAGGATCATGACAAGGTACATTATTGTGGTGAATTGCAAATACATATGTTTATTACAAATTTAATATAAATATCAACGAATATTTAAACGTTACGTTTCAGTAACTGTGTTTGATAGATATTTTGTAAAAATTTACTAGAATAACGTGTCTATTACCTATGTTTTAGATTAATCAAGAGAACCATCAGATTATTACGCGTACGCGGCGAGCGATTAAAAAACCAGGTTTCTTCAGAACTCTGTTTTCCGTAATATATGAAGTAAGTAGAAATGAATTATGTATCTCAAAGATTGGATGTAAAAGTAATTTATTATAAGTTGTACAGTGTATCATTTATTTACATAAATTAATGAATTAATAAATTAAAACCCGTTTAAAATATTTGTTTCATGTTTTTTTTTAAGGATTTCAAAGTTGATTTTATGAAAAAAAGTCTATAATTTTAGTTCATTTAACTTTGATATGGTAAAAACTTTTTACCAAATAAACATGTATACGGGCCATAAAATATTTGTTGAGATTGAATTCGAATAAAAGAATAAACCTATAAAGTTCTGTTGTAGGAACTACTGTAACAATTTAACGCGGTACGAGCGTGTCTTGAAATTTTCAGAATATTAATGTATATACATATAAGGTAATCGTAAATATACACGTTAAACACGATACTTTTCTAGTGGAAATTAAATTCCTTCCTTTTATTGTTTACCTCCATTGATTTATTTTAATAAGAAAACGCACAGGCTGAAGCACGCCTTCAGCCGTAACTGTAAAATACAGTATGCATTGCAAGCTCCTACGCCAATGTCTTTCTCCTCGGGTGTCGAATGTACTAATTCCAAGAAAGTGAAGCAGGTGTCTTCTTGTAAATCTCAACAAATATCGTACGGACTGTACAAGAATGATAAAATCCTACCCTCCTGCCCTTTAGCTCTTCTATCTAGAAAAAAAAGTGGTACATAAGTACCAAAGGTTTAGAAAATATTCTAGTCATCCCGGAGGAATACACAAAAAAACAATTGAACGACTTTGAAATAAAGACATTGTTATTAAGAACTATAACCACAATAGGAATAAAACTAAAATTGTACTATTTTGACTTTTTTAACCATTTAGTTACTTTTTTGTAGAACTTTCTTTCATTTCTTATTATTTTTTAGCAATGGAACGATACAAAGAACACATTTGGTACTATAAACAACCTTATTAATGACAATTTTTTACCAGATAATGCACCTGTAAGTATTTATTTATTTCCACATTTATATACAATATTTATTTGGATGTGTTTAAAATAAGAGAGATGGATTTCAGCACCAAAAAATGGAGCGCAATTTATGTAACAATCGCTTAAGTTGTAAACAATTTCGTGCTGTTGAAAAAACAACTATTTTGCAGTCCCTTGACCTAATTAACTTTTAAGTATTTCTATAATAAGTTTCTTCAGCTAGTTCATATAATTTCATTTTTAATTATTACACCGAGATAATTTCTTTGCTACGGTTAGTAAAAATCTATTAACCGTAGCAAAATATCAGCATTAAATAGGCACCAAGTGAGTTGCCTTCTTACCACAAGAAAAACTGCTTTGCTGGGAGGAACTCATTTGCATTAAGTAGTCAATTTTGAAATAATCTCTTTGCTACCTCAAGCAAGTCAACTCATTAACCCCAAGCGAGTCCCCATTAATCCCAAGCGAGTCAGCTCATTAACCCCAAGCGAGTCAACTCATTAACTCCAAGTGAGTCAACTCAACTCCGTATTTATTATTATTTGGTGTTGTTGGCTCTCCTCACTCTTCGCGCACCCTGCAATGCAACGAAAAATGTTGTACATACCTTCAAACAAGCATAAATAATCTTGATATCCCCAAGTACTACTGCATACCTACGCAAATACCCAAATTGAAAACTTTCTGATGGTTATTAGACAACTGAAAATTGACTCAACACTACATCATAATACATCTATTTATTATAATGGACCCAACAACTAACGATTGACGAACGTATATCCCGTGTTACGTGTTGCAGCAAAATGGCGAAACCTTTAATTTCTCTATGGGCGAAACCATGGTCAGCATAAGGCACGCGTAATCGCGCATGCACACTGAGCCGAATTCCGGTTTATTCCGAAAATTATTAAGTGAGGCCTCAGTTACAGTAAGTGAGCCCTAATTTGCTACAAACTAACTACTAACCTCAATTGGATCAATTCTAAAAAAGTCCATTCACTTACCCGAGCAAAGCAACTCACATGGGACAGATAGACAGTCGACTAGAATAATATTCCAACTGAACTATCATACAGCCACGCCACAACACTGCTTTTTGTTCTGGTAGCAAACACGTCTCAGCAAAACGGTACTTACTTTTGGCAGCATGAACTTTTTTCTGTGACAGCAAAAATTTTACCCACTTGGTGGATTTCTTTCAATGTATGAATCGTTAGCTTGTTAGAAGGATTGTTCTAACGTATCTAGGATTTCACGAAAGTGACGTAAGCCTGCTATTTAATTATCTCATCAAACTCGGCATGTAAAAATTGAATGTGTACGATCTGCACCAATTCCTCTGGCTAGAGAGTTACCCCAGAGTTCTATTCTATTATATTGATTTACGATTGTTACTAGACTTTTAATTGATTGCTGTGCTTCCAAGTTTTTCTCTTTCCTTATTATTCAGATGTCATAAATTTTTGCCATAATTTAAGGTAACAGAANTTAGCAATGGAACGATACGAAGAACACATTTGGTACTATAAACAACCTTATTAATGATAATTTCTTACCAGATAATGCACCTGTAAGTATTTATTTATGTATTTCCACGTTTATACAGGGTGAGTCAGAAAGAATGGATCAACACTAAACTGGAGATACTAGACACCAAAATATTATGTTTGAGCTCATCATACATTATACGAATGTCGCTGGTTTAAGAAATACAGGGTGTTCAAGGTTTCAATTTTATTCTGAATCTTGGTAGTGTTGGTTTTTTGGTGTGAGAATTACGAATTTGAAGCTTATTTTGATGTTGCTCCTAGAGGGCGCTAGTTTCACCATATTATTTAGGTAAATCAGAACATATTTTTTTATCTGTTGAGCTATGCTTTAAAATCTAAAAGAACGTTCAATTCTATATAAAAAATGTACTCTTGTTTAGGTCGCCTAGCTTTATCGGTTTCTGTGTTATTTGCATTTAAAAGTTTCAATGTATTTTGTGGTGATTTTCTTTTAGGCGCTGATACTGCTATTTCTTTTCTAAATAGGCTTGTGTCAAATTTTCATGTCAATAGATGTTAACGTATTTTGCGTGCGTATGATTTATTATTCGTGCAAAATTATTAGCTAGTGATCAAAAAATGCCACGACATAATATTTTTTCCAACAGTGAGATGCGTGACATGATTTGTGTTTTTGCTTAGGCTAATTTTAATGAACATGCGGCGGCCCGAAGATATGTGCAATTGTACCCAAATAGATTACCTAATTATAAACTATTCAGAAATCTTTGCAATCGCTTAGGCGGATCTGGATCTTTTCCACCAAAAAGTAACCATGGTACTCCAAAATCTATCGCAGTCGATGAAGAAGAGAAAATTTTACTACTCGTATTCGTCGGTTAAATGTGGCAACGGGGGTAAGCCAATCGTCTTATTTGAATTTTGAAAAAAAGAAATGTTCCACCCATGTCATTATACTGCGGTTCAGCAGTTATTGTCTCAAGATTTACCAGCTCGCCTACAATTTGCTCAGTTTATACAAAATATGCAAACGGAAAACCCAGATTTCCTCAATAAGATTTTATTTACTGATGAGACGACATTTACTAGACGAGGAGTTTTTAATTGGAAGAACAATCATTTGTGAGATTCCACATGCTGTAAAAGAAAGTCATTTTCAGCATAAGGTGTAGTTTAATTTCTGTTTTTTTCATAGGACCTTTTGAATTGCCACCCAATATAAGTGGACCTCATTATTTACATTTTCTTCAACATAATTTAAACGAGCTTCTAGATGATGTACCACTCGCTTTAAGAGCGAGTATGTGGTTTATGCACGACGGTCACCACCACATTTTGCCTTGCCAGTACGCCAGTATTTAAATGAACATTTTCCTCATCGGTGGATTGGCCGTGGGAATGAATTTAGTTGGCCACCAAGAAGTCCAGACTTAAACCCTCTGGACTTCTAAGTGTGGTCAAACTTGAAGGATGTGGTGTATCGTGAAGAAATTAATTCTGTTGATAAGTTGCGGCAGAAAATACGCGAATGCGTTTAAAAATAATAGGGAAATTTTGTTTAATATTCAGACATTTAAATGTATAATAAAATGTATTGAGGTAGCTGGTGGAAACTTCCAGCATTTGATTTATGGTTTGTTATTATTACTATTACCAATAATTCTTATTGTTATTTTCATCTTTTGAGAATAAAAAATCACCACAAAATACATTGAAACTTTTAAATGCAAATAACTCAGAAACCGATAATGTTAGGCGACTCAAACAAGCGTGCATTTTTTATGTAGAATTGAACGTTCTTTTAGATTCTAACTAATGATATTGGTAGCCTTATTTTTATTCAGTTTGTTGTCAATAGTGGGAAAACTAGAGGCCAAATTTCAAAGAAAAACACCAAATTTTCTCAATTGTCGACGTTTCGTCACTTATCGTGACATCCTCAGGACACTATAAAATTTAATAATTTCAAAATTACATCACAATTTATAAATAACAAACTTAACATTAAAATATTAAAAAAGTGTGTCTAAAACATTACAATAAAATGAATACAGTAATATCTATATAAACATGAAAAAAAANCCTTCAAACAAGCATAAATAATCTTGATATCCCCAAGTACTACTGCATACCTACGCAAATACCCAAATTGAAAACTTTCTGATGGTTATTAGACAACTGAAAATTGACTCAACACTACATCATAATACATCTATTTATTATAATGGACCCAACAACTAACGATTGACGAACGTATATCCCGTGTTACGTGTTGCAGCAAAATGGCGAAACCTTTAATTTCTCTATGGGCGAAACCATGGTCAGCATAAGGCACGCGTAATCGCGCATGCACACTGAGCCGAATTCCGGTTTATTCCGAAAATTATTAAGTGAGGCCTCAGTTACAGTAAGTGAGCCCTAATTTGCTACAAACTAACTACTAACCTCAATTGGATCAATTCTAAAAAAGTCCATTCACTTACCCGAGCAAAGCAACTCACATGGGACAGATAGACAGTCGACTAGAATAATATTCCAACTGAACTATCATACAGCCACGCCACAACACTGCTTTTTGTTCTGGTAGCAAACACGTCTCAGCAAAACGGTACTTACTTTTGGCAGCATGAACTTTTTTCTGTGACAGCAAAAATTTTACCCACTTGGTGGATTTCTTTCAATGTATGAATCGTTAGCTTGTTAGAAGGATTGTTCTAACGTATCTAGGATTTCACGAAAGTGACGTAAGCCTGCTATTTAATTATCTCATCAAACTCGGCATGTAAAAATTGAATGTGTACGATCTGCACCAATTCCTCTGGCTAGAGAGTTACCCCAGAGTTCTATTCTATTATATTGATTTACGATTGTTACTAGACTTTTAATTGATTGCTGTGCTTCCAAGTTTTTCTCTTTCCTTATTATTCAGATGTCATAAATTTTTGCCATAATTTAAGGTAACAGAAGCTACAACACCCAGTGACCCAAACGCCAGTACAACAGCGGCGCCGTATAAAATATCAAGGAAAGAATTCAACAGGATAGTACAAAGAAATTTAAAGGGACTTCAGAGATTGTATAACATCGAACTTCAGGATGCACTTCAAGTAAATATAATTTTTTATAATTATTTTCGCGCCTAGTAATCTTTAATTACATAGCTTGACTATTTTCAATATGCAGTACATGCAACATAAACAGTTATAAAATCAATGGCATGCTTAGATTAGGATAGTTAATAGTTAGTTATTGTTAAAATACGTGTATATAATATGATGACACTACCTTTCATTGTTTTTAGCAATCCAAAAAGTATGACGCAGAATTCAAAAGGAATGCAAGTTTGGAAGTATCTAAATTTCTGTAATAATGTATTATTTATAAATAGAATAGATTATCTGTGATAAGATTGTAAATAAAACTGCTCAATGTATAATTTATTGGTCGTTATTTGCTAAAAATTGTGTAAAATTATTTCTATATGTGCCTATCAACAAAATGTATAAATATTTCTACATGTTAGTAAGTAATTCATTGTATTGAATTAAGTGCTAAATAAAAATTGGTATTACTTATTTCACTTTTCAATTCTAGATTATTGTTTCTTTAAGAAGGACAATAAGAGAAACATAAATTTAAACTGCACCAAAGACAAAATAGCACAAGAAATAACTACGATCCAGCTGCATAACAACATTGAACATAATGGGAAAGTACAATAGAAAAAATAAAGGGTAATATCGAAGAACGATTCAACAGAAATAAGAACTGAATAATGTAATATGGATAAATTTTATTTATATAGGTACAGCTGAGTGCTACACTTTTTGGTGATATTTATTATTTGTTTGTAAAGAAAATACACGATAATGGCACTAGTAATGTTTAATCGAAATTTAAGATTTTAAAACAAATACGTGAGAAAAAAAATTGAAGTTGATTACAATAAAATGAATACAGTAATATCTATATAAACATGAAATAAAATTACAAATACAGATTCTTCTTATAGATTTTTAGCGTTTTAGCTCAGCAGATAAAAAAAAATAGGTCCTGATTTACCCAAATAATACGGTGAAACTAGCGCCCTCTAGGAGCAACATAAGCTTCAAATTAGTAATTCTCACACCAAAAAACCTAAAGCTACCAATTTTCAGTCATGTTATCAAAACTTTCTGAATTATTGAGAAATTTCAGAATAAAGTTTAAACTTTGAACACCCTGTATTTCTTAAACCAGCGACATTTGTATAATGTATGAGCTCAAACATATTTTGGTGTCTAGTATCTCCAGTTTACTGTTGACCCATTCTTTGTGACTCACCCTGTATACAAGATTTATTTGAATGTGGCAAAAATAAAAGAGATGGATGTCAGCGTAGAGAAATGAATGCTCCGTTCAGGTATATCATTCGTTTAAGTTATACACAACTCCGGGCCGTTGAAAATAAAAACTCATTTTTTTTTTCAGTCTCTTGACCTAATTAGCTTTTAAATATTTCTATAAGTCTCTTTGGTTAGTTCAAATAACTTCATTATTAATTATGAATCGTTAGCTTGCTGGAAGGATTGTTCTAATATACCCAGATTTTCATGAAAGTGACGTAAGTCTGCTATTTAATTATCTCATCGAATTCATCATGTAAAAATGGAATGTGTGCGAATCTGCATCAGTTCCTCTCTTGGTTTACTAGACTTTTAATTGATTGCTGTGCTTCCAAGTTTTTCTNAAATTTTGATTAATAGTTTTCATAATGTTCTAAATCCGTCCTTTTCGTTGGAGGACTTTGCACAAAAGTGTATAAATGATTTAAATTATTCTTATTTGTTTAATAATTAATATATGAACAAAAATTATCCTATGACTGATCAGTTTAACTATAAAACTATATAGTTATAGATGGATATTGGAAATGCATTAAATATAGAATAAATATCTATTACACAAACACAAAAAGATAGATATATGTTCCAAAGAATAGACCTATGTAATTTGACGCACTGAATCCAAATCCAAGGTCAGAATTGCTTCATCACCCTTCAATAGCGACAAACCGCCATTAAGTACAGAAAATATTATTTTTCAAAATTAGGGGGAGTCCAACTTCATTTTTCATTCCCTCTATAGTCCAGGCGATATCTGTTTCGGGTTGGGAAAAACGCATATGATCGGAGATTTTTGCTTTAACGGCTTCTAAATAACATCAGAAATTATAATATTTCTATGCAAATAAAAAAAACGTGGGAATTCTCGAGAATTCAGAACGCAGTAGCTGTGTGTTTGCTCCCCCACCACTGATACCTCATTGATATCACGCGGTCTTGAATATCTTTGAGTACATTTTAAATGGGACGCCGGTGATTGCAAATTTTGAAAATTTATATCTGGAAAGTACTCGGAATGACAAACCTATTAGTTCAAAAACAGCCCTTATAGTTTTGCTGTAAATGTAGTTTTGCTGTTAACTTTAACGGGCTATAACTCCAAAAATAATGGGCGGATCATCAGGTTTTTTTTTTAAATACTCGTCTTTCCGAGTACTCTCAAACCATATTTTAAAATTTAAAAAAAAATGAAAAAACATTAAATTATTGCAATTGTTTATAAGCCTAAAAATTGCGAAAATGTTTAAACAATCACCACGGCTCACCTAATCGTCCGATTTGAATTTCTCAAAAATCATTTTAAAGCTTGAGAGCTCTTCTTTTGGGGTGAAATTTTCAAGAATTCAAAGGCTTTAGATTTTTAGAAAATTGATTTTGAAAATTTTTTAATTTAAAAAAAAAATAAATAATTATTATGTAAAAACTATCGAACCGAATTGGATGAAATTTGGTGTGATGATTCTATGCACTAAGAAGTTTAATTGTGAAAAGTATGAAGATCCTAGATATTACTCAAGTGTCTGAAAAAATTGACAAATAAACTAGCATTTCTTTCAATTTTTTAAATGATTTTTCCGATTTCTGCAATAACAATAATTATTTTTTCGAATTGCAACTAACTTTGTCTTGATCAAAATTCAATAACAAAACTTTTTTCCTTTTCCATTTTTGTCTAAAATGAATAGCTGCTATGTTGTCGACGAGAAATCCAAGAAAAAAAATGAATTTTTTTGCTATTTTTTTAATACTTTCTGCAATAACAATTAAGCACACGTTTTTTTATTTGCATAGAAAAATTATCATTGCTGATGTTATTTAGAAGCCGTTAAAGCAAAAATCTCCGATCATATGCGTTTTACCCAAGTATATCCTTTTTAAAACAGATGCCATTGCAAGTACATCTTAAACTCTCATTCATTTTTGGTTGGTTTTTTAGTTTCGATGCTGTTTACGTGTCTAGACAACAAACTGCTTGTTCCCTAATGATGAACCTCGCTAGCAGTTTGTGAAACAAAACACACAAAGTAATTCTCTTTTTCCTTTTTTAAATTTCTAATGATGAAATTCAGTTGAGAATCTTAGACGATAAACCTTTAATCCTTCGAACGAAATTTCGTTTCCTGCTATATTCTTTTTGAAGGCCATTTTATTGTATGTGCCAGNTTTTAATTAATAGTTTTCATGATGTTCTAAATCCGCCCTTTTCGTTGGAGGACTTTGCACAAAAATGTATAAATGATTTAAATTATTCTTATTTGTTTAATAATTAATATATGAACAAAAATTATCCTATGACTGATCAGTTTAACTATAAAAATCTTTATTAGACATAGTAAGTTCATAAAACTATAAAATTATAGATGGATATTGGAAATGCATTAATTTTAGAATAAATATTTATTACACAAACACAAAAAAGAAAAGATATCTGTTCTAAAGAATAGACCTATGTAATTTGATGCACTGAATCCAAATCTAAGTTCAGAATTGCTTCATCACCCTCCATTTTTTTTTAAATAGCGACAAACCGCCATTAAGTACAGAAAATATTATTTTTCAAAATTAGGGGGAGTCAAACTTTCATTCCCTCTAGTAGAATAACATATTTGACATTACAAGTACATCTTAAAATATCATTCAATTATGTTGATTTTTTAGTTTCAATGTTGTTTACGTGACTAGGCAAGAAACTGCTTGTTCCCTAATGATGAACCTAGCTAGCAGTTTGTGAAACAAAACACACAAAGTAATTCTCTTTTCCCTTTTTAAATTTCTAATGATGAAATTAGTTGAGAATCTTAGACGATAAACCTTTAATCCTTCGAACGAAATTTCGTTTCCTGCTATATTCTTTTTGAAGACCATTTTATTGTATATGCCAGTAACCATGGCACCTCCACGAGGTGACGGTGGGCAACAGATCTACACTGTCAAAGTCCCTTGATAAACGGAAGGGATTTCTCAGATTTTAGAGTTATTTTGCACGGTATAAAAATACTTGAGGATAATAGAGTGATTCGAACTTCAGATTCCACTTCAGCACGCCAATTTATACATATAGTCATGCAGTAACAGCCATTCTTTTTTTTTACAAATGCTTCTTAGAATGGGATTTTCCGTATTTAATATTGTTTTTTCGATGATTTAGAGAAAACTGGAGCAATTCGGCACTTGGATTTAGAATTAGAGCACACATATAAATATTGTCCTGCAGTCATTTTCAGTTAGTTTCAAGAGTTATACTTAATGTTAATCCCTCCCAAAGCGAGATTTTTCGAATTTTCTATATTTAAGGGAGGTTTTTCGCGATTTAAAAAAATAGAGGGTGATGGAGCAATTCTGTACACGGATTCCAATTGAGTGCATCAAAATACATAAATAAATAAAGACATAGGTCTAGTCTTTGGAATAGACCACTTTTCTTTTTGTATTTATTTATACTCAGGAAACAGCTCGCTTTGCCTAAAATTACTTTATTTTCGTATCCAAAAGGAAAACAGAACTAATGCAAACAGAGTAATAAATAGTTATGTTATGTAGAAACAACTGCTGTGTATAATCTGTTGCCTAATATTGAAATTCATATTTTTTAAATATTTTAAAAGATGTTTTAATGAAAGTCGTAACTAATTTAGAAATAATATCAGGATGTTTCAATTTTAGTATCCTTGTTCTAGTATACAGATTTACCCCTTGGCTGAGATTTTGTTACAGCAAAAATTCTTTAAACTGAATGAAAATAAATTGCATGAAGCCTCAATTATAAACGAAAAACCATAAGATATTATAATAAATGTTGGAAATGACCTCCTCCCACTATTAAACAATACTTCGAATGTCAAAACATTGATCTACATACGGGATCAAAAATTCTTTGAGAATTTTGACTTACCGCACAAGAATCAATAATGCGATTTCTTAACTCTTGAATACTTCCATAGGTAGGTGATTTGTACACCGAAATTTTTTAATGATATGATATGAATACACAAACATTTCCAGGATTTTAATAGAGCGTTCGAGGGATCAAAACTGGGGTCCTCCATTTAATTATTGTC